TTGGAGCCCTTCCCTAAGATTCTTTTTGGGAGAAGCTGAGAGAGAGCTTAGATATGGTTCAATACACAAATACCATTGTGTATTTCAACTCAGGGCACAGAGCTGAAAGGATGTAACCCTGGGTGCTGGGTGGGTGAAGCCTCCCTGGAGCTGGGGAAGATGAGAAGAGGAAGTCCTATGGAGGGCCCAGAGAATGAGAGCTGAGCCCAGCCTCTGTGCCCTGGGGTCCTCCTGCCTTTCCTCCCCTGGGCTGTAGTAGTTCACTTTCTAATAAAGGTCCTTTGGATTTGGCAGCTTGGGACTGGGCCTCCTTCAGTTGCACAGTGAGGAGCATCAGCAGAGGCCGACACTGCTGTCACCGAGAAATGAGCACCCCCAGCTTCACAACTTTCCCTACCCCTGCCAAGAATGAATAAACTTTCCCCAACCCAACCAAGAATGAAGATTCTGTCCTTTTCCTGTCCTGTGGGTTCCTGGACAAGAAGGGAGGGACCCTCGTTTCCAGGAGCTGCTGATGAGACAGACGGAGGGATCATTCTGAGGACCTCAGTGTCCATCATTCCTGACTCCCAGATTGATTGCAGTTACATCAAGCCAAGAGATGATGGGACAGATGGCCACCGGCACCTGCCCCAGTACCAGTTCTGCTGCTCAGGTGATGATCACTCTCCCACACTGGCCTCCTGTTACATCAATAGTTCAGTGCACTAGGCTGGATGGAAGCCCTTACCCTGGGAGGAAATACAGCCACTTTTCCTTCCTAAATTTGTATTTTGGTGACTGAGACAGAAGCCTTGGTGTAGCTGTTTCTCCTGTCTTAACTTCATTTGTGGTTTCCCAGTCAAAAGCAAATGACAGCAAATCACAACCTCAGCATCGAAAGCCCCACATCTCTTGCTTTAATTTCCAAGTCACAAAAGCACGGGCACTTCTGGTTCATCCCAGTGGAGCAGGGGAGGGGGGAGACCCACTTCTTCCCAGCGACCCAGGTGCACACTCCCCAGCTCTTCACACCACTTAAAAGATTCTGCCCAAACTGCCAACCATGTGTTACAAACAAAGCCCTTCCCGAAAATGGATCAAAAACACTTTGTAATGAGTGTAGGAGCTGGTTTAAAAAGGGCCGACATCAAACAAAATGCAAGCCCTGAGTCACAGGCACTCAAACAGCCCCTCCCAGCCTGCGAAAACATCCTCCCAAGCGCTTCCATTTGTGTAGGTAGTTGTCCAAGCCAACGTATTCAAATAAATACATCTGAAGAGTGGACTTTTTTTGTTTACATACCTTATGTACATTCTTTGGGTAGTCAGTTGTCTAAAGTTGGCACATTTTGAAGAGCTATATAAAGTTTGCAATGATCTCTTTGTCTGCTAATTACTGGACAACTGGATCTGAATTCCACAATGGGCTACCCACTACACAGAGGCTCTTGAAATGGGCTTGCTGGGGCAGGCATAGGGGCTCACACCTGTCATCTTAGCACTTTGGGAGGCCGAGGTTGGTGGATCACCTGAAGTCAGGCATTTAAGACCAGCCTGGCCAACACGGTGAAACCCCGTCTCTACTAAAAATACAAAAAATTTAGCTAGGCGTGGTGGTGAGCACCTGTAATCCCAGCTACTTGGAAGGCTGAGGTGGAGAATCGCTTGAACCTGGGAGGCAGGGGTTGCAGTGAGCCGAGATGGCACCATTGCACTCCAGCCTGGGCGACAAGAGACAGACTCTGTCTCAAAAACAAAATAAAAAGAAAAAGAAAAGAAAAGGGCTTGCTGAAGGGAGTGTTGACGCAGGGAGGGGCCTTCCTTCGCACTCCCATTGCCCCCCATGCGTCTCCTGGGTAGAGGTTCACTGCTCCAAAGACCAAACCATTTCCTTATCTGTGCGCCATTCAACTACAAGCCCCACAGGGGCCTGCAACAAGTCCCATACATCCATCTCTAGGCCCTGCACCCACGCTAGCAAAGGAAGTTTCAGGAAAAGTCTTTCCAATAGGAGTCTTTGGGCTGCCTCTGGCTCATTTCCTTAGGAATTATCCTTTCTGCCCTTCTTGACATGAAAGGGCCTGAAGGGTTCCAGATCTCGACAGAAGCTCCCAGGGGCTCCTGGCAGGTGGGTGTTCTGCCTCTCTGGGAAAATGCAAGCGTTAAGGATCCCTTCCCGTGTTAGTTGCACCCCCATCCCCTTTCTCCACCCTGCACCATGCCCTTGCCCTTGCACCACGCCTGAAGCCCTTCCTTCCTGCCCTTTTTCCTGCCCACTGGTGGATTACATCCCTGCTGCAGTCACACCACGATGCCTTTGCCATGCTGACAACTGTGTCACACAGAGTGTAATCAGAAGCACCTGGCACCTAGCCCCCCAGGACTTATGGCCCCCACCTTTCCATTTCAGGCTTCTTCCTCCAGAGTCCTCTAGGCTCCGCAGCCTCCTGGCCTCTCCCAGGTCCAAGGAGCTGACTCCAGCTCTTGGCTCTAACAGTTACAGGAACACTGGGGCTAAGAAAATCAATTGTGTTAATCAGCAAAGCCCTCCACCAGAGATGCTATCCTAAAAGCAAACCATATGTAAAACACTTAAAGTGGGGAGCTCTGTAATATGTTTCTTTTGTTACACGACCATCACACATTTGTCCAGAGTTTGGGGCTTTCAAACCACATAAGGTTTTATGTGATCGTTATAAAATCCCTTCATTTCCCAAAGGTAGGGTAGTAAGGATTAAGTTTGACTACTGAAGACAGCTTTGTTGTAAATGGTCTCTAATGTCACAAAAGTAGCTTGGGAAGACAGGCTTATTAAACAAATTTCTTGGGTTGCAAATCATTAAAGCAATCGCATGTCGTGTTCATTTGCTTAACCTGAAAAGTATCCATTTGGATGTTTAAAGAAACTATGCAAATTCACATCGTTCCCAGTGCCCACGTGAAAGCTGGCTGATCTTAAAGGAAATCCAGGGAGCTCCTGGAAGAAGTCAGACTGGCGTTGAGCGTAACCTTTTGTGGTTTTCAACCTCTTTCGTAAAATGTTCTTCATAGGAATCTGTGCCGGAGAAAAAGGGGTTATGCTTTGCTAATCTAAAGATGGGAGACCTCGAAGGAATCTCAGCCAGCTAGTCCTACGCTGTCATCCTTCAAATGGAGAAGTCAGGTGGCTGCTCCACGAGGGGCAGGGCTGGACCGCATCCCGAGCCTCCATGTCCCGTGTTCCTTACTCTTCCGTGCACCAGGTGACCTCCCGGCTTTGGAGCCATCCTGTGTTCCTTTAACAGTAGGATGAACATGCAGGTGATGATGACATTGTAATGGGACAAGGGGGAGAGGTATGCGGAGCTCTTGATGAAAATGTGGGTTTTTGAAATTACCACGACGAAAGGAGGAACTTGCACCAAAAGTGTAAGGAGTGTGGGTTTGAGCTCTGCTCATTCAAAAGCCTGAGTGGTCACATCCTTGAATCCTGGTCTTTTGCAGGCCAGTTCTTGGTCAGGTGGTGGCTTTTTTCCTCTTGCCCCTCTGTGCTCTAGAGACCCTTATTTGGCTCCTGATTCTGGAGCCCCCTACAGACACAGTCTTTACCATGGAAGTAGCTATAGTCCTTCACATAGTCCTTACGACTGCGCCAGCAATGGGACTGAGTCCTGCCAGCGGAGCCAGAGCCAGTCCACACATCTCCCTGGAAGCCAGCACTTTCACGTACTGCTTGCCCACTCCCACGGTCCCCTTCTAAAAGGCCTTTGGATGATCATATTGGCATTTCTTTCCTCGGGTGGGGAATCAGAGATGCTAAGACTGGCTAGTCTCTTTTTCTTAAGAGTTTAGGGATTCAGGAGACAACAGATGCTGGAGAGGATGTGGAGAAATAAGAACTCTTTTATACTGTTGGTGGGAGTGTAAATTAATTCAACCATCGTGGAAGACAGTGCGGAGATTCCTCAAGGATCTAGAAATAGAAATATCATTTGACCCAGCAATCCTATTATTGAGTATATACCCAAAGGATTATAAATCATTCTATTATAAAGACACATGAACACATATGTTTACTGCAGCACTGTTCACAATAGCAAAGACCTGGAACCAACCCAAATGCTCATCGATGATAGACTGGACAAGGAAAATGTGGCACATATACACCATGGAATACTATGCAGCCATAAAAAAGGATGAGTTCATGTCCTTTGCAGGGACATGGATGAAACTGGAAACCATCATTCTCAGCAAACTGACACAAGAACAGAAAATCAAACACTGCATGTTCTCACTCATAAGTGAGTGTTGAGCAATAAGAACACACAGACACAGGGAGGGGAACATCATACACCAGGGCCGGGGGAGTGGGGGGCTAGAAGAGGAATAGCAGATGGTGGGGGACTGGGCAGGGATAGCATTAAGAGGAATACTTAATGTAGATGATGGGGTGATGGATGCAGCAAAACACCAGCATGGCACGTGTATACCTACGTAACAAACCTGCACAATCTGCACATGTACCCCAGAACTTAAAGTATGACAAATAAATAGTTTAGGGATTCATATTAAAATGTTATTCAGATAAAAGTATGAGTCATGTGTTAATTGCAAAACTACTTAACAGCACACTTCCTAGAATCCCAGTGGGAACTCTGATTCAATTTTGGCCTTGATTTTCCTTTGGTGCTATTAGGATCCCAGTTCTAACTGGGTCCTGGTAGTAACAGGCTGCAGAAGGCCAGGTGTATAGCATTATTTCTTAGCAGTGTGGTGTGGTGCTGGTGGTTTACTTTCCCTATGCACACATGCCCTCGCACATAAGGACAGTCTGTATAAACATAAGGTGCATTATTATAAGACTCCTTTACAGAGGATGAAGCAGAAATAGAGAAGTCAGATAAGTTTTCCGAAGTGTTGCAAGAGGCTAATAGAAAAGACTAGAGCCAAAGGCAAACATGTCTCATCTCTCCTTCCACATTAGTTTAAATGTGAATGGCCGCTTGGAACAAGGGATTGAGAAGGATTCCGAGGCTGTGTCTAGGCTCAGTGGAGAAAAAGTGCCTTTATTTGACCATGAGTGTATACTCAGGGCCTAGTTTATTTTCTACAAGCAGCTTTTTAAAACATGACTCATCCAAGGCACGGTCTAGGCTGGGCAACCTCAGTGGATCTGGGTGCAGCCTGTCTTGTCCCCAGGGCTCATGTCAAAGCAAATCCTGCAGAAGTTCTCCTCTGAACAACCCTTATCACCCATACTAATATGTGGGATCCCGCAAGTCACAAATACGAAGGTATGAGCATTGGCCAAATCCCAACAGGGAAGATACACCAGGAGGAGAAGATCCCTTTCCATTAAGAAAACAAGCAGAGCCTAGAAGGCTTCTAGCATGGTGGCTCAGAGCATGTGGGCCTTGGGTGGGACCCTCGAATCTGTTAAGGGGTGTGTGACCTCTCCGAAGCCTCCAGGGATGATACTACTCACTAGGGTGGTTATACCCATCATTTTAGGGACAGTGGTTTCTGTACCCACTGCTTAGGGCTGCCATAATCAAGTGACACACAATGAGTGATTTAAATCACAGAAACCTACTGTCTCATAGTTCCGGAGGCCAGGCGTTTGAAACCGAGATGGGTTAGGACCCTGCTCCCTCCGAAGGTTCCAGAGAAGGGTCTGTCCTCTGCTCCCTCCGAAGGCTCCAGGGAAGGGTCTGCCCTCTTTGGCTTCTGGCGGCTTGCAGGTGCAACCCCTCAATCCTCCTCTCCAAGTGGCCTTTTGCCTATAAGGACACGAGGCATACTGGATTAGGGGCCACTAATTGATGGCCTCATTTTCACTTGTTACCTCTCCAAATAAGGTCCCCATCTCCAAACAAGGTGGCACTGTGAGATGTTGGGAGTCAGCACTCCAACATCGCTTTTCTGGTGGACACAATTCAACTCCTAATAACGGCCACACAACCCCAAGCAGGGCCTGGCACTCTGTGAGCTCTCAGGGCAGCAGCTGAGTCAGGCCCCGGCGGTGTCTAGGCCGTGAGTGACTGCAGCCCCTGGACGGGACCGTGCACCACAGGCCCTGGAGGCTGCCTCCGCAGTCCCCTTACAGGGTCTCTGCTGGTCTGGGGGTCCCTGCCGGGGGTGGGAGGGGGAGGCCCCAGGAGGGGAGAGACTCGCTCTCCGGGCTCAGCGCCGCCGCCCTGAGCAGGATTGGCATTCTCACTAAGGGGGCGCCGTCCTACCACCCCGCGCGCCTTCAGGACCACCCGGGCACGTGGTAGGCCGCATGCAAGCCCGCGGACTATCCCTGTGACAGGAGAAGGTACAGGCTATTTGGCAAAATGAGGCACAGAGCCGGACTAAAGGTACGGGCTATTTGGCAAAATAAGGCGGAAGCAGGGAAGGATCTGCCTGGGCTCGTACCAGCCGAAGGGCCATCGGGGTCCGGCGCCCAGGCCGGGGCCGGCGCCGCGGGAAACCAGGACCAGGGTGGCCGCGTCCAGAGAGGCTGCGCAGAGCGGCTCAGGCCCGGCGGTCGCACTGAGCATGCGCAGACTCCGCGTGCTCCGGCCCCGGCCTTGGCCCCGCCCCTGCTCGCTTTCCTACCGCTCTGAGCTCCTCGGCTCCGCCCCGCTCTAGACCCCGCCCCATGCCGCCGACCCCCGTGCCCCTAGGCCCCGCCCCCGTTCCCGCCCCGCAGCCCTGGCCCCGCTCCCGCTCACTCTCAGGCTTCTCTCGGGCTCTCCGCTCCGCCCCGCTCTAGGTCCCGCCCCCCGCCTTCAGTCCCCGTGCCCCGGCCCCGCCCCCTCTCCGCCCTTCAGCCCTGGCCCCGCCCCCGCGCCCCGGATATGCTGGGGCAGCCCGCGCTTCCAGAACGTTTTGCGTCCCGGCGCTTGCAGGTACTCGCGGTCCGCACGGTTTGCGACTTGGTGAGTGTCTGACCCGCCTAGCTCCCGGCACAGTGCGGGGCTCTCCCTGGGGAAGGCGGCAGCCTCGAGTGGTCCTGCAGGCGCCCTCACCTCGCCGTCGGGGCTTGGGGCTGCCCTGACCCCCACCCACCCCAGCCTTCCCCGGTGCCTGGGGTTCCTGGACCAGGCTGCACCGCAGTGACTGTGGCCTCGCGTGGGGCGGGGGTCGTGGCAGCCCCTGCCTTACCTCCAGGTGCCAGCCCCAGGCCCTGGGCTCTTCCTGCCTCTAGCTGCTGCGGGAAGCTTCCAGAAGCCCCTGCGCAGGCCTTGGCTTGCAGCAAGCCTTTAGCATACTTGGGCAGGGTCCCATATTAACTTCCTGCTGCAGGCCAAGTTCTAAGGGCCTCCTGGTTACCATGGCTGGTGTTTGTGTATATCACACCCTAATTGTGTTCATCAACACTTAGAGTAAGCAAGGCGGGTTCGAGATTCACGCACACTGGGCACCGTCATTCCCACGTCGGTGATAACGCCGCAGAGGAGTTCTGAACCATGTATTTCGCTCTCTTGGATTCATCACCTCCTAAAACCTGAGGGTGGTTGCTCTCAGTTGCCTCAGCTGAGTAGCTGGCTTTCTGTCCTGGAAAGCAGACTTTGTACACGTGTGCAACCTTTGCCTACTGGGACCATCATCAGAGAGGGAAGTGGCTTCGTCCAGAGGGGTTCACCACAGCTGTTAGCAGAATGTTAAGCGGTTGAGCACGGAGAGCTGAGAATTAGACGGGTTATTTACATAGACATCAAATATACACCTGTAGAGTATGTTAGGTCAGACTCCCCCATCATCTCCGCCGTCCCTGGGCAGGTGACTAGGTGATGCTTTTGTTATTTTCCGGGCTCTCTAGATGGCTAAAACACTCAGGAAGATGAACAAGATTCTAGAAAACCAAAAGCTTAGCACATTTGGTGGGTTGGGGGTGTGAAAACTTTGGAGGAAACCGCATCAAGAGCCTGGCTGGTGGTTAACATCACGTTAACTCAGAGGGCCAGGATACTTGATGGGACCCAGAGCCTGCTTGCAAGTAGCAGAGGAGAGCTGGCCTTGCTCTGCCAGTGTCTGTCTTCCGGGCGCCCTCCCTCTCAGGCGAGAATTTGAATAGTGAAGTAGTGTTTGCCACCGTCGGGGGCCGGGATGAAGTAGGCCTCCAGTACAGAGCTACACTCAGCTACTTTTCAATGTAAATAGGCTTTTTGTTTAAAAAAATATATATCTGGGCCAGGACAGTGGCTCACACCTGTAATTCCAGCACTTTGGGAGGCTGAGGTGAGTGGATCACCTGAGGTCAGGAGTTCAAGACTGGCCTGGCCCATATAATGAAACCCCATTTCTATTAAAAATACAAAAATTAGCCTGGTGTGGTGGTCCACGCTTGTAATCCCAGCTGCTTGGGAGGCTGAGGCAGGAGAATCACTTGAATCCTGGAGGTGGAGGTTGCAGTGAGCCGAGATTTCACCATTGTACTCCAGCCTGGGCAAAGTGAGTGAAACTATGTCTCAAAGGAAAAAAAAAAATCTGTATCACAGTAAGGGTTTAATAGAATTAGGCATTCCTCTAAAAAGGCTGTTAGGGGCTACTTTAAAAAGGCTACTGTGTTAAAAAGGCTGTTAGTTAGGTTTAAAGAAATAGTGCCCTTATTATACGTTGTTCAGCTGCTCAGATTCCTCAACCTTTTCCTCTGGTAGAGAAGGCAAGGGCTGTCTGCTGAGGTCTTTCTTTGATATCACCTGGGCCTTCCCATCCCAGGTGAGGTTGGTATTCCTTCACAGGTGTCTCAGTCACGGCCTCTTCTGTTCTTCTGCAGGGAGGAAGGGCGCAGGGCGAGGCCTGAAGAAGAACTTGCCTTCCCCCTGTCCCCCTTGGAGTTTGTTCTTCAGTCCTCTTCCCTCCCTTTCTTAGGACACCAAAACCCCGACTCTTTCAATATTTTATAATAAAATAAATGTACTAAATTGTCTTGTTTTTCCTATTTTGCAGAGGACGTACACTTAGGAGCCAGTGATTTGAACATCCAGGTTTTTTGGTGTTAATGCCCTTTTCGATTTATAGTATATTCTCTTTGATAGAAAAAAACGGGAGGCAGAGCTGAATTTTTCTGCATATCTTTTTCTTTAACATTATTCTTTTTGTTTTCACGCTTTATTCTGACCCCCTTGCCCCAGCATAAAGTTCCTTGTCCAGACCCAGTTTCCCTGAGGCTTTTCACTTCCTTCTGGGACTCTAGTCCCTCCAGGGGACACACTGAGCCTCCCAGACCCTGAGGGGCCCTGTGCTCATTCAGCTCCTGGGCTGTTGCTACCATCCTTCCTGACCCTCTCTTTCCTGGGACAGGCAGCTTTTGATATAGCTACTTTCTGAAAGAGCTGGGGTCTTATTCAACAATATTATTATTTTTAGAGGCAAGGTGTTGCTCTGTTGCTCAGGCTGGAGTACAGTGGTGAGACCATAGCTCACTGCAGCCTCAAACTCGTGGGCTCCAGCGAACCTCCCACTTTGACCTCCCAAGTGGCTGGGACTACAGGTGTGTGCCACCACACCTGGCTAAATTTTTGTGTGTGGAGGCAGTGTGTCCCTGGGTTGCCTGGAGTAGTCTCGAACTCCTGGACTGAAGCAATCTTCCCTCCTAGGCCTCCCAAATTGCTGGGATTATAGGTGTGAGCCACCATGCCTGGTCTGGCAGAATATTATTAAAACCAAACCTGAAGGTTTTAAAATCAGAGACACAAACCATCACGTGACCATGGATTGCCCGTGCTCAGCCTTTTTATGGACACTCCTGATGCACAAGCCAGCTGTACGCCCCACTCTTGGTTTGAAGTGAAAGGGTTGATCTGGGAGGGGAGGAGGTTTGAGCTAAGCAGGAGGGCCCTTGGTTGACATGAGGGTTTTGTTGACCCGCCCTGTTAGCTCTGCAGGCCTGTCTTGGGTGGAGGCAGGTAGAAGTTGGAGGCCTTGTGTTGTGGACCAAATATTGCAAGATGTGTGTTCTGTGGCTTTTCATTAACTGCTGCATATCTGCTGGTTAGTGGAAACAGTCTAATTTTCTTTTGACTTAGAAAAATAGTATAGCTTGTATAGGAGGGCTGCGTAGTTTGGGGAAAATTATATAATTAATGAATATAGTATGGAATGTAATGAATGACTTACTCCTTCATAGAACTATTAAAGTGATTTATTCATGAAGAGGAAGAAATCATTTTTGTGACTTTTGTTCATCTTTGAAGCATCAGAGTGGCTTTGGCAGGTGTGGTTCATCTGTAAAGAGATCACTGAGTCCTGCCACGGTGCTCGGGGCCCGGCAGTGAAACCAGTCTGCAGCAGCCCACGCTCCCGTGGCTCCTCCAGCCGAACACCTGGATAGGCTGCCCTGGGGTTCCCGACGCAGATGCTGAGAACAGTGAAGCTTGTTTTTGACACCACAGTTGTTTCCAGTTAAATCAGCGGCTCAGCAGCAGAGCAGGGTTCTCCAAGGAGGCCTTGTGTCCGCTTCACCCCACCTAGAGTCCACTCATTTGGTGTGTGAGGTAGCTCTTATAAAACCAGTTAAAAATTCTACAGAAACATTTTCTTCTGGTTGTTAAATCAGTTGTAGTGTGTGTAACCACGAAAGGGATGGCGGGCGCAGTAAATGCCTGGTGTGTTCACTCTCCGCCACTTAAAAGTTTCTTGTTAATTTCCTACCTGTGACACTTGTGAAGCCAGCAGAGCCTCCCACTCCAGCCCTGTTGCCCATTCCCAGAACTCTGGGCGGGGGGCACCGAATAGATAGTCCACCAATGGCGTGGCTGGTAAAAGCAGGCACTTGTTAAATCTATTTGTTTTTATTATAGACATCGATCTGCCAGTCGCAGTAATGCCTTTATGGACATTTTTCTGCAAGCACAGCACGGGTGGCAGTTTTTACTGACAAATTGAGTCCTATACATAGAGGTTTAGAAAACTCTTACCATAGTGACAGATCAGGCAGTTCTGGCACGGGATGTTCAGAGATAGTTAGGTGGGTGAAGAGAGTGAGTGAGTCTCAGGGCTGAGAAGGGGCATTATATGTTGAAATGTAATGAACAGCTGCTAGTTAGTTCTCCTTTGTTTTTAAACTTTTAGCTACATTTTACTCCCCAACCAAAAGGCCTCTGGTGGGCAGCCAGGGCTCTCGTGTTGAGGTGTCCTTCCTGCTCGCGTGGGGGTAAGAACCACCACCAGAATGCGGTTCCAGCAAGGCCTAACGAGTCACAGCCCCTTGAACCTGCTGCTCTCTGTAAAGCGGGATCTTCACAAGCCACAGCGGAGGAACATCTCTCTGAGGGTGGCCTGGGTCCTCTGTGTCAGAATTACTGAGGATGCAGGCTAGAGGTCTGCTGATGACAGGGCCCCGTGACAGACCTACGGGATCAGAAACTGGGGATGCCAGGGGATTGTGGCAGATCCTAATGCTTGAACCCCTCTAGGGGAGGCCTTAGGATCGTCTGGGAAGTAGCGCTCTTCAGCCCAGGCAAGCTCCGAGTCCCCCTTCCAGATGGGTCCATTGGCAGCTGGCATTGCTGCAGGTTGTCTGTGCATATGG